CCCCTGTGGGGGTAGGGCCCCCCCGGCGGAGGCGGAGGAGGTGCCCTACGGCCCCCCCCCGCCGCTGCGGCGGGAGGGAACGGCTCCAGCCGCGCCTGAGCACCGCGGAGAGGGGCCGGCGTGCTCCAGCGGCCGCCTCGCTGGGGCAGAGGCAATCCCGGGCCCGCATCAACGGGAAAGGGGCTCGTTTCCTGCAGGACAGGGAGACAGGGGGGTCGCCACATACAACTGGGGTTTGCAGAGGGCAGGGAAAAAAGCAAACTTCTCTCCTGATCTGGCCCACAGTCCGTTTCAAACGTGGCTAAGGAAGGGCTGTAAGGCAAGCATCGCCTCCTCTCGATTTGCAAGGAATGAGACGTGACTGCTAAACCAGCAACAGATGGTAACGTTTCGACCGAGCCATGACACACTGAGGAAGGGAAACATGCCACACTCCCGCCGTGCTGCAGGAGCGGGGCTGCCAGTGGTGCATTCATGTGTCAGGAAAGGAGGGGGGCATGCAGTAAATCCCACGTGTATGGGAGGAGGGGTGCACACCACCCAGATTGAGCTGCACTTACGCTGATTTTGGTTGCATCCGTATTTGTTACCTAAAAGAACAGGAAAAAAAGGGGATTAGACTCAGCTCTGCCAGCACATCAACAAGATGCTCATCTTCCCACCCCAGTGCAAGGACAGGACACAGACAGATGCAACTTTCTCTGCTTGCCATTCACACAGCCCGGGAGTGCCTGGGGGGGAGTTCCTGGGCGACAGGCAAGGCAGAAAACCAGTGCCCAGCTGAGGGGGACTGTTTTGGTAAAGCTCCTGTGGTGACCACAGAAACGCTGCCTTCACCAAGGGTGCGAACAGCAGCCAAAGAAACGCTTGTTGCATGCTGTGCTGCTCACACTGACAAACACTGGGGAAGATGCTTTACCAGCAGCATTAGCACAGCAGTGAAGTGCTTGGGCAGGCTGGATCCTGCACTGCTCAGGGCAGAGCTTCAGTCCTGAAACATCCTGGGAGCAGGTATCGCTCAGCAGGTTTTGTACTTGGTTATTATTTTGTCTCCAGCCAGCTACTGTAAACCTAAGTGATGCCTCAGATCTCACTGATGTGCCTCCCAGGGAGACGGTCATCATTCTGCAGGCATGCCCTGTCATCATTTATTGTAAAAGCAACTCACGGTTTTTATGTAAGGTTAGAGAAGACATTTAAATCTAAGCAATTTATTTCCCTGTCTGACAACTGACTTACACTTTCCCCAGCTAGGCGGCATCGCATTAGCTCAGTGTCTATATGCTTTGCATCTCTATTTGAGCTCTGCAGGAAAACAAGCGTGCCACAGAGATGGGAGCTGGCACAGGCATGGAGGCTGCCGCGGGGCACCCTGCCGGCGCAGGGGCTGGGGGCCGGAGAGGATGACGTGCCCCTCACAGTAGGGCAACACGGCCTGGAAATCCTGCTCTACCCCACTCCTTGTACAGTCCCGTTTGGCACCAGCAAGGTGTTTTGCGCTGGGGGGAGGCTGCAGAATGAACTGGCTTATGTTGGGGAAATGCAGCTGAAAAATTTATACTAGAGCTTACCCTCGCACCAGGCGGCTTGCTAGGGGGAGGGGAAAGGACATGCAAGATTTAACTCTGCTTCATGCATTTTAATTACTACATCCGACCGTCTGAAAATGTCTTGCTGAGCTCCAGATACAGACACAGGTGTGTACGTGCACCCCAAAAAACTGCGTGCATTTGTATATGCAGATTGGTATGTACTTAACATACCAACAGAGAGGTGTATCCCTCATGCCTTTCTGTGCTCTGTCAGTGAGCAAACAGAGGCTCTCTCACCTTTCACAACTATTCCTAGCTCAGCCCACACAAGCACTGGTTTTTGCTTGTCCCCACTTCATACTACAGCTATTTTTGACTGCCTCTCTTGGGTCCTCATTGCTGATCTTGCAGCGGCACATTTATCGTTTTCTATTTACAATCCTTAAAGCACTGATGTTTTTTCCTGAGGTGAAGTCCCCCATGGTACGTGCCCTGTCCTCCCGTGTCCCAGGGAGGGCCCAGGGAAGCTGGTGCTTCCAACCGCTCGCTGGCACTGGGTAGAGGAAGCGCTCTCCTTTCTGGAACTGCTGAGTTTATTTGGATCACCCTCTGAGCATGTTGCACTTGATGAATAGATAAATCTCCATAGCACTGTATTACCTTGCTCCTGCTGCCGGGGACACTGATGGCTAATTCGTGTGCAAGTTCTCTGGCTGGTTCTTTAAGGTACCACCACTGGATTTCCAAGGAGTAAGAGGTGGATCCGCTGGCTCGGAAAGCACAAGGCATCTCAATATCATCTCCCTCCCTAACAGTCACATCTTTGGGAACTTCAGTAAAGGTAGCTGGGAGGGGAAGATAGAGTTACAAGGGCTGGTTAATGGGAGAGATTAAGAGGCAAGATCAGTCCTTTTCAGTGTAACGTGAGCTGCTTCAGCTCAAGAGCTAAGCGCTGACCGAGATACGGGTTTCCTGTAGTCCGGTGACCGCAGGATAAGCGGAGCATCCAGGACCGTGCAC